GAAATACATCGCTGGCTGTCGCACGGGCAATTGCAGGGTGACTAGCAGGAGGTAAAGCACACTACTGCATGTAGCGTGGCCAAGCCACGGACCTCAGTAGAGGAGTTCTTGTTACCCTACCCAGCCTGACAGGAAGTTCTCCTCTTAGTGAGCACTGAACAGCTTCATGTCAGGCCAGGTAGACAGAAGTTCCTCCACCAGCAGTGCGCGACTCGGCCATCCTACATAGGAAGGTACAGGGGGTAGGACACACACACATGGGGGGAGGGAATGAGACACATGGAGGGGATTGGGGGAATGAGACACATGGAGGGGTTGGGGGCTCAAAGGTATGTTGGCCCACCTTGCTGGTATCCCGTTGAGCCAGTACAGCTCTGTGCCACCTCCCTTTTCACTTGCCTTTCCCTAGAATTATTATCTTTTCTTCCTTGTGCCAGATCTTAATACCTGGACACATCCATTTTGTTCTCCTCTGCCCATGATTTCTGCTATTTGCCTTTCTGTGCGATGATTTAACTCATGGATTATGGGTAAATATGATTGGTAACCAAAACAGAGCATTTCTGACTAAAACAAAATCTAGAATTCATTTTTTATTTATCTGATATTAAGTGTACCCACACCTGTCATATATAATTTTTTCAGGAGAAATAAGGCTTTCATTTTATATTAAATATTTATTTATGGAACACAATTTAATGTGAATACAATCTAAAATAGAGTAAGAAATTTAGAAATTGTGCTATTTCCATGTCATAACCAAACCCAGGAAAACAAATTAAAAGAGATTCAGACACAAGAGGTTATACCCCTGGTTTAGGATTCAAATATGGGTGTCCATGCTAGTTCAATGGATCCCCACTGTATGTAACAGGCACATTACATTTGTCATACCACAGATACTGCAAAAATAAATAAATTGCTCTGCATAGTGGCACTGCCCTCCATAAGACATTGGTGACATTGTGAAGAATAAATTTTCAAACAAATGCCAAGAACATATGTCCCTAAAGGACAGTGCCATATTATTCTCTTGAGAACGCTATTAAAGCATTTACTCTACTTACCTTTCTAACTAGAATGCTTGTATGCATCACTATTCCAAACTGAACTATTTTTGCAGTTTGGCAAGGTGCATCATTCTGCTGAAAAAGGCCACTGCTATCAGGGAATGCCATGAAGGAGTGAACGTGTTTGCAACAATTTTTTAGGCAACTGGTACATGTCAAAGGAGCATCCACATGAATGCCAGAACCCAAGGTTTCACAGCAGAACATTGACCAGTGCATAACACTGCCTCCCCTGTCCTGCCTTCTTCCCATAGTGCATCCTGCTACCATCTCTTCATTCATCAGACAAGGCAACCTTCTTCCATTGCTCCATGGTCCAGTTCTGACACTCACATCCCCATTGAAGGTCGCTTTTGGTGGAGGACAGTGGCCATCCTGGGTACTCTGACTGGTCTGCGGCAACACAGCCACCAGATCACCAGTTCTTCTTCCTTGAACCACTTTTGGTAGTACTAACAATGCATACCGGGAACACCCCACAAGACTTATTATTTTGGACATGCTTTGACCCAGTCATCTGGCCATCACTATTTAGCCCTTGTCCAAGCCACTCTGATCTTTTCGCTTGCCCATTTTTCCTGCTTCAAACGCATAAAATACAAGAACTGTCTGTTCACTTGCTGCCTAATATATCACACTCCTTGGCAGGTGTCATTGTAACAAGATAATCAATATTATTCACTTCACTTGTCAGTGGTTTTAATGTTGTTGATGATCAGTGTATACTAACTGATGCTTCCAGTGCTTCTTTATGAGAAGCATTTGATTGGAGGAGAAATTGAAGAGAAGTTAGCAATTAAGATGACAAAACAGGAGGAGGAGCGGCCAGCTGCAAGCACTGTGTCTCTGCATTGGATACAAGGGAAGAGAAGGGTTATTTAGATTAAGTTTTTTTTAACATAAAAGGGGGAGGCAGGGGTCACAAGGAAGCTATTAAACGACCAGGTAGTGAAGGTCATGTCACATTGAAGGACTGTTGGCTTTGTATATTTATATTGTCTAATAAAGTGATTTCAATATTTTTGGGCCACACTGTTTTACGCCTTTAGCTGCAATGCTCCAGGAGTCTTAACATTGATGTTTATACACAGTGCACCCTGTTTACCCAAGTGATCATGTCAACATGCTTACTGCTTGAAACTGTTGTCAGATTGGTCCAAGATGATGATGTGGTAGTTATAATGCCCTCTTAGTTAAACATTCTGAAGTTGGCGCACATAACAATAGCTCTTTCCACTCCCAGATACACATTTTTCGCAGTAATCAATATTCTTCCATTCATCCACAGAAATCTCATTTGGCATTTCCAGCCTAAATACACAAGAATACAAGGGTACTGGAGGCAATAATAAAACTCACCCCAATATATTTTAAAGGAAATAGTACAAATCAATGTAGTATATGCTTTTTGCTAGTGTTAGGCTGATGGAAATATTCTCTGCAATACCCCTCTATTCATACCAAAAAAAACAAACAAACATTTGAACCCAGCCGTGATTATTTTTCTTTCTTACAGCTATACTGGAGGTCAAGGCAAAAGAAACAACTTTTAACATATGTTAGCTTAAAAGTCGTGTTCAAACTCCATAATTATCTGTATGACAGGTTCATGTTAAATAATGTTTTATTTGAGTCAACAAAAATTGCACTTTCTTGAGGCTAACAAATGCTACCCTCAAATCATCTCTATTGACCTGTTGATTTGTGCAAATACTAAACCTCTTCTACTCCTCGTGTATGTTCCAAGATAATAACAAGCCACAATCCCTTGCCAAAACAAAATAATATAAAACAAACATTTTGAATCTTGGAACAACATTAAGGTCAATGTTAAATAATATAACTTTAAAAAATATCTAAAATTTTTAAATTTGTATTATTAATGGCGGCATGGCTAGCTAAGCAAAAGACCAGATGTGTCTGAGAGGAGCTCCTACTCCACAAAATAGTAATTAGCCTTTTGCCATGAAAATAGTAAAATTTCTCGAGACAGACTACAATAGGGCAGTGGCCTCCCTTCAGCCTGACATCTGCAGATCTTTTGATAGGCAAAACTGTGGGCCCTGCCCAAGATGGTGCCTGCGAGGCCACGAGGCTCAAGTTAATTGAATAACTTTGAAAGGGAGGAAATTTTCACAGCCTCACAGGGGCCTAGCGGAGTGCATTGAAGAACAAACTCGGATACAGACACATCTTCCTCCACTAAAGGAGACAACAAAAAGCCACTGCTTGATCTTCGTGCAGTCCGGAAGGCAGACCTAGCTGGGGTGCAAACAGGAATCATAGGCAATGTCGAATCCCAAGAAGAGAAATAAAAGGACAGGCTGGTAGGGGCCTGATCCCTAATAGACATAATTTCTGAGAAGGTCCAAAGACTTAGCCATACAGTGGTATCACTTGAGGCGAGGCACCAGAAACTGTGGGCCCAGGGAACCTGTTGTACTATGCCAATAAAGTAGCCTGGCAGTAGGGGTGCGAAGAAATAGTGTAGCCACCAACTCTGTCAGAATTCAGAACCCTTCCACCATCAAGGTGGATGCGCTCAGGGATATCATAGTCACTCTGGACATCGCTATCAAGTCTCTATCAATTCTTCTGGTGCGCTCCAGAAGCCCCCCCACTGTCACAACCTCCCGTACACTTTCAAATCTTCCCCAAGTCTAAAATCCTTTAAGAGATCCCTCTCTACATATCTCAAAACAGAATGCACTTGTCATGGTTAATTATATATTTCTTACCTGTTCTATGTAAAATTTTGTTTATATTGTGTATTAATATTGTTTTTGTATTTTTTTGGACCCTATTGTATCGATGTTTTTTGTTGACCCACAACATACTTGAAAACAAGAGAAAGTTGTCTCCTTCCTGGTAAAATATTTTATAAATAAAATAAAAAATAGGAGTCTGGTAAATTGTTTTGATGATTTACCGTTTGCAGTCTTGATGGAAAGGTGCAGCTTCTGGCCGATCACCAAAATGCTAAAAGAGCATGGCATATGATACCAGTGAAAGCATTAGGGACCTTGGTGTTTTACCTGAGATGTGTCCCTTTTGCTGAAAGGGCCCCTCATGATCACACAGGTAGTAATCTGCTCTTACCACAGCTGTACTACATCTCTCTAGTCTCGGCCCTAATGTCCTGGACATTATCCCGGTCTCATTGGAATCACAATGAAAAAACGCTTGATGTGATTAGGTATAAGTAAAAAGTCCACAATTTTCTTATTGTCTTTAGCATTGCTCAAGCTAAGATGCTACTGTTAATACAACAACAATCCAGCACCCCCAATACAGTTTCACAACAAGGTATGATGAACATCCTTTACAACAAGAAATACTTAAAAAGCAATATCCTGCCACATCCAGAACCAATACCAGGTACAGATAAATTATTTGAACACCTAAACACCCCCCAAATATTCATATTTTATAAATTCAATTGTCAATTTCTGTCTTTTTTATGGCTACATGCATTGTTTTCTCCATAATTATATCCTGAGCTGACTCCCATGACTGATTCAATGTTCACAGCTGTACCACTCATAAAAAATAAAAAAAAATCCATGTTTCTGCCTAGATCATCCACAACGGACTCTTATGCTCTAGCCACAATTTGGACACCAGATGAGTTATGTTGTTTAGCTCACTAAAGGATCCCCACAGTTTACAGTTTACCAGTTCGACCCTTGCGGTTTAGGGTATCTTGCCTCCTATTGTTTTTCTAGGATAGGGCTGTAGTCTTTCTATCCCTCAGACCAGATGGCTTTTAAGCATATACCCCCCTCCCTCTAAGCCATGGGGTAATGCATGTGTCAAGGATCTTACCTGAAGTGGGAGTCCGGCACGCAGAGTTGAGGCACCCTTTGCAATTCGACACAGACCGAGGGGACTCAGGACAGAAATCCCCAAGGCTGTGACACAGTGCACTGGGGCTGAAATAACCAGTGCTTCCTGGAACGCAGTACAGACAAGGATATCCAGAAGAGTAGTCAGTATCAGAATCAGAAGTCAGGACGGGCAGCAATCAGGCGAAAACAGTAGACGAGCAGGAGATCAAAAGCAGGAGTCAGATGAACAGCAGTGAAACCAAACAGGAACAGGAAACACGATCTGACCACGAGAACCAGCCTTGCGGGGTTTAAATAGGGAGTCTCAGCCAATCATCAAGGAACCAGGAACAGGTGTGCACATTCCAGGCGTACAGGCTCAGACTACAGGATACCAAGAACAACCAGAAACAGTCAAAGATGCGTGGAGCTCAATGCAAGGATACCGACTGGGATGCAGGAAACTCAGGTTTGATCCCAGCCAGACCCAAATACACAATATTGTGTAAAGCACAATGGTGATCCTGACATTACCCCCCCTTCAAAGACGCCGTAGGCGAGAAGAGGAACGCAACTTACGACCCAGGAGGTTACTTTTGGATTTCTTGGCTTTGGTGGTACTAGTAGGAGCAGAGGTCATAGCTTGTAGGGCCTTTTCAAATACTTGCAAGTCCTCCTTCCGGACTAGAGTCCCATTAGAGGCATAGGTACAGCCAGAAAGAGGGTCTTCCTTGACAGGACTTGTAGTGGTTGTGGTGCTTGCCTTCTTAGAAGCAGAATCTTTAGTAGAAATAGAGATCTCAGGTTCTTTAGTAACAGATTCCTGCACAACCTCAGGAGCAACGACTGTAGAAGGCTGAGGATTGGACAGAGTGGTCAAGCAAGGACAGGCAGCATGTTGGCAGACAGGTCTCATAGGATATGCCAGAGTAGTACCCAGACGGAGAACCCGAGGCCTAGATGGACGAATGGGACAAAAAGATATTAAATGTCCCATCTCCCCACAATAATAACACAGTCCATGCGCCATCCTTCTTGCCCTTTCTTGAGATGACTGACGGAACCTAACCAGTCCAATCTCCATGGGTTCCTCCGCCTCCCTGCCAGATGTATACGATGTTTCGGGAGACTTGGGAGCGGTAGGGTTAGCTTTAACATCAGTCCGAGTGAAAGGAGTAGTGTAGTCCATTTCCAGTGCGGGTTGCAATATGTGTGAAGCAACAGTAGGTGATCTATGTACATATGACTTTTGTGTCTTGTTGACTTGTAAACCCAGGGACCGTATAAAGGACTCCCAGGAATCTAGGACTGGGCTTTTGGCGAGTAACAACTGGTGGGCCCAGATCTTAAGGTGCCCCGACAATAAGGTAATCGCTGTCCTCACTTTAATGACGTCTGTGGCATAGGTAAGTGGTCTCAGGGAGAACAGGACCTCGCAATCAACTTTGAAGGTATCATACTTAGACCGGATCCCAGAAAATTTCTCGGGTAGAGCAACCAGCGGTTCAGGGAGTCCAGAGTCATAGGTTACTCTCCCTTTAAGGGAAGCCAGCTCCTGCTGTAAGCCCTGCAAAGCCTGGGTGAGCTGGGAAACTTGCTGGGTCAAGGCTGCAACGGTAATCTTCAACTCTGCAGACTCCATTTGGTCAGATCGTACTGTCAAGGATCTTACCTGAAGTGGGAGTCTGGCACGCAGAGTTGAGGCACCCTTTGCAAATCGACACAGACCGAGGGGACTCAGGACAGAAATCCCCAAGGCTGTGACACAGTGCACTGGGGCTGAAATAACCAGTGCTTCCTGGAACGCAGTACAGACAAAGGATATCCAGAAGAGTAGTCAGTATCAGAATCAGAAGTCAGGACGGGCGGCAATCAGGCGAAAACAGTAGACGAGCAGGAGATCAAAAGCAGGAGTCAGATGAACAGCAGTGAAACCAAACAGGAACAGGAAACACGATCTGACAACGAGAACCAGCCTTGCGGGGTTTAAATAGGGAGTCTCAGCCAATCATCAAGGAACCAGGAACAGGTGTGCACATTCCAGGCGTACAGGCTCAGACTACAGGATACCAAGAACAACCAGAAACAGTCAAAGATGCGTGGAGCTCAATGCAAGGATACCGACTGGGATGCAGGAAACTCAGGTTTGATCCCAGCCAGACCCAAATACACAATATTGTGTAAAGCACAATGGTGATCCTGACAGCATGTTAGGAAGGTGCTAATTTCTCAGTCTAGGATGGGTTGAGATACATAGAACTATAATGTAAATGATCGGTGCGCATTCCATTAACTTTTCCAGGCTCACTGCCTTGTTCCTCAGTTTATTTTTATTCTATTGTTATTTTTATCTTATACACGTTTCATATAATGTTTTTAATGTCAAGGTAGCGCTAGTTAGATTGTCGCTACATGTAAGCTACTTTACCTTCTAATGTTCGCATCTTAATATAAAACCCACATGACAACTGCATTTGCTCCTATTATTGTGTTTTGCTTTGATTTTTTATTAATGTCTTATTTCAGTATCTAGCTATGCCAATCTCATGTCTAACTGTGGCAAAAATAAAGAAAAAAAACTTTAAAATTAAAAGGAACAAAATATGTGCTCATAATAAAGTTCCAAGAAATTCAGTTATTAGCAAAGGAGGGATCTTCTATAACAAATGTAGGGGGTCAAGATTAAGATTCAGGTCTATTAATAACTGACTGGAGGACCTGCCTATGGCCCTTACTATACCCCCCATGTATAGCTGGTGAATTGGGGTTTAATGAATAAAACGTTCAGCAGCAGGTCAGTGAATGGCTAAATAAATCCACCCATTTATCAATAATAAAGAGGGACTGCCTTTGGTAATCTCCTTATCTACCCAGCCTTAGTCAGTGGGGATTACCAATATTTGTGGGTTTAGTAGGCCTCCCAGTAGAGAAGGAGGAAGCCTCAGGCATGGAACTTGCTAATAACTTAATATCATACACCTTACGTGTCTTTTAGATGCATTTTCAAACCTAGACTATTTTGTGTATACACATTGTATGTTTCCTGAATATTTTCTGCAGTCAATAATCAGACTGAGTTTTGGAATAATTCTTAAAAGTGTCTGCTATAACAAGCAACGTATTAAGTTTAGATTTGCAATGATCTATATGTTTGCAAAAACAACATTTGTTGTATTATATTAGTGTAGGTTAAATATAAGTGACAGGTTTATTTTCAAAGTTCTAGCAACCGTTTTGGCAGAGATTCAGGTTAAAAAGATCCACGGTCTAAGGGTTGATTCCCTGCGTAATCCAGCTGAGATGAATTATGCAGGAACAGTTGTCAATGATAATGTATTTTTGTTGTAACTGCATTCTGCTGACTCAGATAATTTTATTCTATTTAAGATTGATCTCTTTCAATCATCTACACTCATCACTTCTCTTAAAGAGAATTTCACTTGTGAAATTTTTGCACATACAACAGCTGTTAGATTAAAAAATTTTTTTATATGTTTAAAACGTTTTTGATTTTCATGCCCTGCCAGGCACAGCATGTAAATTAGTTTAACACTTCCAGACGCAACACATGCAGTACCTTTTTGAATATCGTCTTAAATTCCTTTGTCAATTCTTCAAAATACGCATAAACCACAGATGAAAATCTAGTAGCCAAGTTTAATATACTCTAGCTATAGCATTTAAAACCAAATAAGCTATTTTGGTAACAACTTAATTATAACTTATTTCAAAAGAAAAAACAAATTCAGCATAATAAATGAACTATCTCAAAATAAGTCTTAGTTGCTAATTTAAAAAATAAAATACAATGGATTTTATTTCATAAATGGCCAAACTTTAGCTTATATATATATCTAGTGTTCCACTCATTTTTCGAATGATAGACACACACAGCACCTTCTCTTATACACAAATCCTAAAACGTAAATTTAAAAACATAATTATAACACAATTGCCCTGAAGTAAAATATGAAATCTGGAATTTGTTTAAACAAGTGGATTTGTGAGTATTTAAGTTCAAGTTACCCTGAGGTGGTATCGATCTTTCCACTTCAGTATAAGTGATTATGTCACCGGTGAAAATATTGTGTAATCCAATCTACACTGCATGTGGTGAAAACCATGTGCAAAGCAGGAATGTCTCCTAATAAATTCACTACACAAAGAGTGTATGAAGTAGATCCTTAGAAATAGTGGTTGTAAAAGTTCAGACAGGCCTGAAGCTTGTGTGGAATCTTATTCAGCAGTGAACAGTAGAGTTACCCAATACACTGTAGCCCTTTCTCTACCTCTCAGTGTGTAAAACACACTAAAGAGAGCACTAGAGGGAAAAGCTGAAATATGAACCAGTTGTGCTTGAAATATATGTCAGTAACACTCACATGTTGCTGTGAGTCACAGAAATAAGAAGTCTATTGAATCTTCCTTCCTGTTTTTATTTTTTTAATTTGTGCATCAATGTCTTTTTTTGAAAAAAAAAATGTATTTCCTTTTTATTTCTTTTTTTACAATGTCTTTTTGGTGTATTCTATTTTTCTTTTCCAAAATGTTTTTTTTTTTTTTTAAACATTTAACTGCAATATAATAATGTTGAAGCACAAAATTAAAATGGAAGATTGTTATTTTTTAAGTAATAACTTTATAAATCTTAATATAATTTTAAGTAGTTTTTGTTTGAAACGGCTCAAATATTACACAAATGATTTAATGCTATCAGGGATGTAGAATGAGCACCAGTCAAAGGTTAAATTTGCAAAATACTTCAATTCATGAGGGAAACGTAGTAGCCCTGACCTGCAATTCATGAGGGAGTTTTCGTCGCCCTGGTCAGTGTGGCACCATAGTGTTGATTCGATATCTTCATTGGTGAGTGCCGTTTAAAATTCCAAAATATAAATTTTTGTGTTCTAATAAACAAAATTCAATTACATTGTAACTTTATTGACATTGATATCTAGTATGCACTCAACTTAAGGTGGAATTTTGCTTTGTATGGTATGGCTTACAGTAGTGGGAGTTTGTGTTTATTTGGTACAAGGCTTATAATGGATGATTGGAGCTCCAATAAACTTCTGGTAACTTTTTATTAATGATTTGGTGACAGATATCAGATCAGAACTGCATACATACCTTTAGGATAAGCCCTTTGTCAGGGAACTATTTTTATATTAGATCATCAGGGATGAGATAGCAGGTTGAGTATTTTTTTTTTGTTTGTTTGTTTTTTGTTTTTACAAAGGTATTTGCATGCTTTAGCACTTTATCTCTGCTGATTCTCTTATGCAGCTCCCTGTTGTTAGAATCAGTGTTGCTAAGAGTCAGTCGTGGATT